CCTACTCTTGCGCTGAATGGAACTGCTAGCGAATGAAACGCTTTCGTTTTTGTTGGTTTGTTTTGCTGGCAGGCAGTTTCCTATTAATCTCCGGTTTCTTTTTTCTGGTAAACATTCAATTTACATGTCACTGGTTTAAATATCATGGCTAACTCTTATGGTGATGTCAGAAGTAGTAGGCAAAGTTTAGAAACAGAAAGAGAGTTTGAACTAGCAGGCAGTTGAGTACATATAGGAAACCCTGATTGGGTTGTACTCGCTATAGAGTACCCCACTGCAGGCTAGACAATATAACATTCTGACACACCTCCATAGCCAAAGTGGGGTGTAATCAGTGGTCACAATAGCAATAGTTCATAAATTATGAGCAAAGGTAGAGGCAGTCACTGAGGGCAAGTGAGGAGGAGGAGGGCTGGCGAGAGGAGAGTAGATGGGAGGCGACGACTGAAGCTGCAGACACACGGGCAACAGACGGCTCTGGTGCAACGCTAGTGGCTACCGGGAGCAAGTGCCCCGGAATACAGGAGTAACTGGCTCTGCGTCTGATCAGCAGCGACAGGAGCAACGGACCCACGGGCGACAGGTGCAACCGGCTCTCTGAGCTACCGGTGGCTATCAGAACCCCGGAATACAGGCGCTGCGGACGACACGACGGCAACCTCCACTCAATCTCCCCCAACAGTCCCACACCCCTCGACACACACCCCCTGCTGCGCCCCTAGCTCCACTCCCCCTTCACCCCCCTAGCACCACTCCTTCGGCTCCCCACACAACCACCCCCCTGAGCGGCAGCTGCAGCAGCGGGAGACGAAGGAGGAGGAGGAGGAGGGGACGGGGCACACAACCGGCACCCCCACAACCGCCACCCCCACACTCCCCACCCCCAAACCCTAAAACGGGCGGAACGGGGGAAGGAGCGCGGGGGACGGCGAGGGGGACGGCGCGCGGCCCCCAGGGCGCCACCACGGGGCAGCGAGGGGCCGCGCGCGGCTCCCCAGGGCGCCGCGAAGGGGCAGCGGGGGGTCGCGCGCGGCTCCCCAGGACGGCGCGACGGGGAATCGGGAGCCGCGCGCGGCTCCAGCTGGTCGACGCGACTGTCGACGGGGCAGCGGGGGGTCGCGCGCGGCTCCCCAGGGCGGCGCGACGGGGTGGCGGGGCGACGCGACCACCGACGGGGCAGCGGGGGCAGCGCGCGGGTCCCCTAGGGCGACGCGACGGACAGGGCGGGGGCGCGCGCGGGTCCCCCACGATAGGAAACCGCCGTGCGCCTCGGGGCGCACGGCGGGCAGAAAACCGCCGCGCGCCCCGAGCGCACGGCAGGAAGAAGACGACGCACGCCCGAGGCGCGCGAGAAGCATAACAGCAGCGGAAGCAGTTAGGTGGTGGGCCCACCCACAGGATCGACCCAAGGGGGTCGACCTGCTCTGATAGCATGTCAGAAGTAGTAGGCAAAGTTTAGAAACAGAAAGAGAGTTTGAACTAGCAGGCAGTTGAGTACAAATAGCAAACCCTAGATTGGGCTGTACTCGCTATAGAGTACCCCACTGCAGGCTAGACAATATAACATTCTGACAGGTGAACTGCAGGGGTTGCTTGGTGATCTGCAGAAGGTGCTGTCTTCGGCCAAGACCATGCCCAAATCATGTAGATCACCCCCGGCTGTAGGCGAGAGTAGTTCTATCTATTTTTAGCTGCCATTGTGTTATGGTTATATTTTACATAATGTTGGCATTTCTAGTAATGGAAAATCTGAACTCAATCAGACAAGAATCATGAATTGTAGAAATTAATAACGTTTGTGGAATGTCCAATTATAAGCAGTATGAATTCAATATACAAACTCACTAAAGAGTAAAATGCAATGAGATCTAATCTCCAAAATCACTTCGGGAAGACTCTTACTAAACTTCAGATGAAGGTATTCAAGATGCAGCTTTGAATAGAGAAGCATTGCAGAAGCATTTGAAAAGCATTCGACAAAGCATTTGGAAAGCGCACTATACTTTCTCAAAAAAGCGTTCGAAACACTAAGTTTATAAATCATTCGACAAAGCTCCAAAGCAACTCTTTTCAACGGCTTTCTGGACGCAGGATTTTTGTGATGTATGGATCTCTATTTAAAAAAATGAAAGACGAAATTTTACAAAGGTTTACTTTTCCCACGTGCAAAAATTCTCCAAAGTTGCAGTATTAAAAAAAGGGTAAAATTTTCAATGTCCTTTTCGAGAAATGTTTTTTTTATCCTTTTGCAAGTCCGCAATCATGCTATCAAAAATATGATCTTGTCCATTTTTGTACGAGTTACCTATATATATAAAATGGCTCTGAAACTTTTTGGTCCGTGGTATTAAAACAAACGGGGTCCTTTAAATTCGCTGCGGGACTTGTTCACAAAAGATAATAATGTGCGTAAAATCTCTCAAACTCGATAAATTCTTTTTTGTCAGGAAAATGTCGGCGGGAATTTCATGTAGTTACCATTCGCGTGATGGGCTGCTAGTGTAGAGTTACCAAATGCGTTAAGCGAGTTACCAAACGTGTTAAGCGACTTTCAAAACGCGTTAAGCGAGTTACCAAACGCGTTGAAATCGTTACCGTACGCGTTATAGTTCCCCATGTAAGTTACCATTGACATATTTTCCCAATGAGAAATATCGCCGTCAGAAGCACGACCTCGTCGCACATGTTTTACTACTGTAGTAACTGCAGATTTAAATTTTTTTTTTTTCCGAACCAGCCTGCAAATCGGCCACCGAAGTTGTTAAATCGCCAAAACTGTAATTGGTGGCTGAAAATGAGTCGACTCTAAATCTGCCACCTCGTCGTTGTTCGCGAAAAATATGACGACCATATGGTCGTCGTAAAATCGGCCATACCCTATATTCAAATGTGTCCGGGGATTTGATACGCCCTAAAGTTGCCAACTAGGGGTTCCGCGAGTTCCGACCCTACTTCATACATCGAAGCAACCCACACGACCGGGCAGGGAAGCCGAGCCTGGCCTTCTTGCCAGGTCACCACCTACTGGCTTCGTGTGAGAGTACGACGGCTTATGCTTGCTTTGCTAGCTTTCCTTAACTCGATTATGCTATTACTGGCCTTGGTTTATATTATCAGTGGGGGCTATTTTTCAAGGGTATTTTGCCCTGATTCCCCTTTCTGTGAGGCGTTTTTTTCATTGTACCCTGATTTTGTAAGGCCAACCATATTGCAACCCTTCCCCAAAAAGTGTAGCAATCATATGACCCTTTGTACAGCAGGGTGCGTGTTTTTGTGCCCGTACCAGTCAGGGTCAGGTCAAGATTACCCTTTTACCGAATTCTCGCACCTGTTTCACACGTAACTGTAGGAATCTGCCTTGCTGTACCAGGAACAAAGCATTCCGCCCACCGACAGTAAGTGCTGTCAAGGTGGGTGGTTTTGTTTTTTCTTGCTGTCATTGCTATTTGTCCTCGCGGCAGCTTTGGCTGCCAGCACTTGTGTTTTCTCTTGACAGCGCATTGCATCTGTGGTGGTTGCCCCGTCGTGTAGGGACGGAGCGCCCTGCACTTGGACGTGGATGGATGTATCTGTTGCCTGATGGTCATAGACGCTGTGTACGCTTAGAATGGTGAGGGGTTTCTTTTATATTCTAGCAAAGCACTGAGCTATTCACTGACATTCATCCCATCCGGTTCGTATTTGTTCCTCACCTCTGTCTTGTGTTTCTCAGCACACTTAGGATGCCTCGCGACGAGGATGACGAAGACGCGCTATCAGGCCAGCTGAATGGCCTGAGTGTGCTCGGTATTGGTCGACGAGCTCCACCTGTTGATCAGCCGCCGCCTGTTACTTTTGAAATGGGCGGTTCATCGCCCGTACTTCCTGAACGAGTGGTTTACCCGTTTGAGCCTCCCTGTTCCCCCACCGCTTTCCAAGAGCATCCGACCGTTATCCTTGTACCAGGTGGCGGTGAAGGCTCTTCCAATCCATCTGTCTGCACACCACGAACCTGTTAAACTGTATTATGCTTGTAGGCTGTAGTGGGGTAGCCAATATGGGGTACAACCCCAACTAGGGTTTCATATTTGTACCCAAACTTCTGCTAGTTCATCATTCTTGCCTAGTAATTCTGACATGGTATCAGAGCAGGAGGTCCCTAGGACCTACCGACCGTTTTTTTTTTAAGGGCCCACCACCGCTCGCATGCGGTTACCACGCTACCCCGTGCCCTAGCCCCTCGTTAGCGCCCTCGCGCGCACCCTCGTTAGCGCCCTCGCGCGCCCCTTCGTTAGCGCCCTCGCGCGCCCCTTTGTTAGCGCCCTCGCGCGCCCCTCGCTAGCGCCCTCGCGCGCCCCTCACTAGCGCCCTCGCGCGCCCCTCGCCGAGCCGCCCGCTCGCAGCCCGCCCGCCCGCTCGCTGCCCGCTTCGCGGCCCGCTCGCTACGCAGCCCGCCCGCCCGCTCGCTGCCCGCTTCGCGGCCCGCCCGCTTCGCAGCCCGCTCGCTCGCTGCCCGCTTCGCGGCCCGCCCGCTTCGCAGCCCGCTCGCTCGCTGCCCGCTTCGCGGCCCGCCCACTTCGCAGCCCGCCCGCCCGCTCGCTGCCCGCTTCGCGGCCCGCCCGCCTCGCAGCCCGCTCGCCCCGCTGCCCGCTTCGCAGCCCGCCCACTTCGCAGCCCGCCCGCCCGCTAGCTGCCCACTTCGCGGCCCGCCCGCATCGCAGCCCGCTCGCCCCGCTGCCCGCTTCGCAGCCCGCCCGCCCGCCCGCTGCCCGCTTCGCGGCCCGCCCGCCTCGCAGCGTCGCCCGCCCACCGTGCTGCCCGCTTGCAGCGCCGCCTGCCCGCCGCGCTGCCCGCTTCCCGGCCCGTCCGCCGCGCTGCCCGCTCGCAGCGTCGCCCTCCCGTCGCGCTGACCGCTTGCAGCGCCGCCTGCCCGTAGCGCCAGCCTCGCCCGCTGCTCTCTATCCGTGCACAGTCGCCTTCCCCTGCTGCGGCAGCTTGCGTTACTCTGTCACACTGTCGCTATGGCTTCCATCCGCGTGCTGTCGTTCGATGCTGAGGGCCGCCCTGTGCGGTTCACCGCTTGGCTAGATGACCTGCAGCTGTTCCTCCTGAGCGATAGCAAGGAGCATGTGTCGCTCTATGATTACGCGTCTGGTGCTGCGCCTGCCCCTCCTGCCACAGCTGAGCTTAGTGTTCGTTCCCACTGGCAGACTCGTGACGCAGCTGCTCGCCTAGCCATTCGCAGTCACCTGCCGTTAGCTGAGCTAGAGCATTTTGGCGACTGCAAATCCGCTAAGGCCCTGTACGACGCTGTCGTCGCTCGCTACTCCTCGCCTGCCACAGCCGAGCTTAGCCGCCTCATGCTGCCGTACCTGTTCCCCGATCTGTCCACCTTTACTACAGTCGCCGATCTTATCACCCACCTTCGCACTAGTGATGCTCGCCTGCGTGCCGCCCTTCCCACCGAGTTCTGCGCTAAGAACCCCCCTCCACTGTACTGGACACTCCACTTCATAGTCACCCGTCTCCCTGACACCCTCCGCTCAGTTCGAGACCACTTCCTTGCTCGCTGTCCCACTGAGCTCACAGTCGCCCTCCTAGAGGAGCACCTGCTCGCGGCCGAAAAGAGCATTGTAGCTGTCGGTGCTGCTCGTGGCGCTCCTCGCACCCCCATCTTTGAGGGGTGTTCTCCCTCTCCCCTCGCTCCCTCCTACGCTGCTGCTGCTGCTGTTGACTTCCTTGGTGCTGAGTCTGTTGGCGCTGCTTCTACTCCTGGTGGGAGGCGCCGCACCGGCAAGGGCAAGGGGGGCAAAAGTGGTGGTGGTGGCGCTGGGGGGGGAGGAGGTGGGGGAGGTGGGGGGGGAGGCGGTGCTGGAGGGAGCGGTGGCGGGAGCGCTGGTGGGAGTGGGGTCGGTGGTGGAGACGGGGGCGGCGGAGGAAGCAGTGGCAGTAGTGGCGGCGGCGGCGGTGGCGGCGGTGGCGGCGGTGGCGGTGGTGGCGGTGGTGGCGGTGGCGGTCGGAGCGGTGGTAGTGGTGGCGGCGGAGGTCGGAGTGGAGGCACTGGCTCGGGCCAGAGCTCCCAGCAGCAGCAGCGTCCCCAGACGACCCAGCAGCTTCGTGAGTGGCTTGCTCAGCGTGGGACGTCGGGGGCCAGTGCCCGCTGTTCTTATGTCATTCGCACAGGTGACCGCAAGGGACAGACGTGTGGGAGGTTCCACACCCCGTACCGCTGCTTCTCCCGCCTTGACGACGCTTGGCGTGAGGAGATGGGTGCGGATGTTGAGCGCCCCCGCTGGGCTGAGCTCATGAGGGCTGGTGTTGATGTCTTTGCTCTTGACTATGATGCTATTATTGCTGCCATGTATGCATTGACTGTTAGTGCCGAGGGAGACTGTTACTTGTGTGTGCCGCCTGACCCAGGTATAGAGCCTGCTGCCCTGGGTACTAGTGAGTCTGCTCTCTCTGGTATGGTGCCCCCTGTACTTGCTCCCCCCAGTGCTGTCCCGGCTGGTTTCGAGTCTGCTCTCTCAGGTACAGCACCCACACAGACTCCTCTCTCAGGTACCGCACCGGCTGAGGCCTGTCACACCTTCACCCTTGACTCAGGTGCTTCCCGTTGCTTCTTTCGTGACAGTACTGAGCTCACACCGCTTCCTGCACCGGTCCCAGTCTCCTTGGCTGACCCCTCTGGGGGCCCAGTCCTTGCCCAGTCCACCACTGTCCTCCCTTGTCCGGCGGTTCCGTCTGGCTCGTTGTCGGGTTTCCACCTCCCCTCGTTCTCGACGAACCTGGTGAGCAACGCTGTCCTCCAGGATCAGTGGGTTGACACCTTTACCCCTGGCGGACAGCGTGTGGCGATCTGCACGTGCTCCAGGACCGGCCGTCACCTGGCTACGTTTACCCGTCGGCCGGGGTCGAGTCTCTACACACTGACCACTGCGTCTCCCCAGGTAGCTGCTGTCGGTCAGGTGTCTGCGTCAGGTCTGGTGGCCCACGCCTGTGAGTGTCGTTCCCTGTCGCACCAGACTCTTCTCTGGCACCACCGCCTGGGTCACCCCTCCTTGCCACGCCTTCGTGGCATGCACCGTCGCCTCCTTGTGTCCGGTCTTCCCAGGTCCCTCCCTCCCCTCCCTGCCTCGCCTGCGCCGCCTTGTCTTCCTTGCGTCGAGGGGCGCGCCGCTCCTCACTCCTCCTCGTTCCCCCCGACAGAGGCTCCTCTGGAGACCCTCCACCTGGACGTGTGGGGCCCAGCCCGCGTTCGTGGTCAGGGCGGTGAGCGGTACTTTTTGCTGGTTGTCGACGACTACTCGCGTTACACCACGGTCTTCCCCTTGCGCACCAAGGGTGAGGTCCCTGCTGTTCTGATCCCTTGGATCCGCACGGTTCGTCTCCAGCTCCGCCGCCGTTTCCGGACGGATCTTCCTGTCCTGCGTCTGCACTCTGACAGAGGTGGTGAGTTTTCCTCCGATCTCTTGAGGACCTTCTGTCAGGCGGAGGGCATCGAGCAGACCTTCACGCTTCCGGACTCCCCACAGCAGAATGGGGTTGCTGAGCGTCGCATTGGCCTGGTCATGGAGGTCGCTCGTACCTCCTTGGTCCACGCGGCGGCTCCCCATTTTCTGTGGCCGTTTGCTGTCCGGTACGCCGCGCATCAGCTCAACCTCTGGCCCCGTGTCTCCTTGCCGGAGACCTCGCCCACACTGCGTTGGACGGGGGAGGTTGGCGATGCGTCGCGCTTCCGGGTGTGGGGTGCTCGTGCCCTTGTCCGCGATACGTCTGCGGACAAGCTCTCCTCCCGCACGCTTCCCTGTGTCTTCCTTGGCTTTGTCCCTGACGCGCCTGGCTGGCAGTTTTACCACCCCACCTCGCGCCGGGTCTTCGCCTCTCAGGATGTCACCTTTGACGAGTCGGTCCCTTTTTACCGTCTCTTCCCCTACCGCACTGCCCCCCTCCCTCCCCCGCCGCTTTTCCTTGCTCCTGGTCCCCCTCCGGTAGACCCCCTTCCCCCTCAGGGTCCTGCTCCTTCAGGTGTCTCTCAGGTAGACCCTCCTCCCGTCGCTGAGCCTGTCGAGGTCACAGGTGACTCAGGTGCTGCTGCGGGTGGTGCTGCTGGGAGTGCTGAGCCTGGGGGTGCTGAGCCTGGGGGTGCTGGGCCTGGGGGTGCTGGGGCTGCAGGTGCTGGGACTGAGGGTGCTGGAGCTGAGGGTACGGTGCCTGAGAGTACGGAGCCTGGGGGTGCTGCGCCTGGGGGTGCTGAGCCTGCGGGTGCGAGGCCTGGGAGTGCTGGGACTGCGGGTGCTGGAGCTGAGGGTACTGTGCCTGAGAGTTTGCCGCCTGGGGGTGCTGAGCCTGGGGGTGCTGCGACTGGGGGTGCTGAGCCTGCGGGTACTGAGCCTGCGGGTACTGAGCCTGGGGGTGCTGCTACTGAGCCTACGGAGCCTCGGGTTACTGTGTCTGGGGGTGCTCCGGTTCGGGGTGCTGAGCAGTCTCTCACACCGCAGCAGCTTCGTGACTGGTACGTCCGACGCTTTCGCCATCCTAGTGGCTCGGCTTGAGTTGGGGGTGCTGGAGTAGCTCGTACTGGGGGTACTGGAGCTGCCGGGACTGGCTGTTCTGGGAGCACTGCGACTGGAGCTGCTGGAGCTGGGGACTCTGGCGTTGGCGGTGCTAGCGGAGTTGGAGCTCCCGACTCTGGGGGTGGCGCTGCTGCTGGTGCTGCGGACCCACCTGGTGGAGCTGCTGCTGGTGCTGAGGAGTCGGACGGTGGAGCTGCTGCTGGAGCTGGGGACCCGGCCGGTGGAGCTGCTGCTGGTGCTGTGGACCCGGACGCTGGAGCTCCTACTGGTGCTGAGGACCCGGCCGCTGGAGTCCCTTCTGCTTCTGGAGACGCTGCGCGGCCGCGACCGTACTTCGTACCGCTCCTTCAGCAGGTTCTTGGGCAGGCTCCTCCTCCTTGTCCTCCTCCCTCCGTAGAGTGTCCTCCGCCTGTCCAGCCGCAGTCACAGTTACCGCCTGCCTCGCCTCTCCCTGCTCCCTCTCCTTATACTGGTCCCACAGGAGGTCTTACAGAGCGTCGTGAGCCTGAGTCTCGTCCTGCGTCGCCTGTTCGTCCTGCTCGCACTGGTAGTCGTGTCCGTCGTGAGCGTCCTCCTCCTGTCCCAGGCACTCACTACATGACTCTGCGTCCCTCTACTGCTCCTCGGCGTGTCCCTCTACCGTCTCCTCCTGCGTCCTCTTTGCCTGCCGTTCCGGACCCTGAGTCTGACCGGTATCGCGCTGAGCACCCTACAGTCACGCGTCTCCTTGCTACTGTTGTCACTGACCCCACCTTTGAGTCCTCGGCTGCGTCTGCTCTGGTCGCTGAGTTGGTTGACTTTGCTGCTGCCTGTCGTCTAGACTACGCTGCTAGCCTTGTCGCTGAGTCAGAGTCTGCGTCTGTCTGTCCTCCGTCCGTCGGGGGTGAGTGTGCTCTTGGCACGGACGTCCTTGAGGACAGGCAGGAGGACTTTGACTCACTTGCGGCTGCTGTACCTCATCTCGTGGCCTGGTTGCTTGCCCCTGAGGGAGACCCGGATGCAGTAGACATCCCCACTCCGCGCACTTACGCAGAGGCGATCTCGGGTCCCTACTCCTCTCAGTGGCAGACAGCCATGGACGCAGAGATGGCATCCTGGAAGTCCACAGGCACCTACGTCGACGAGGTTCCCCCTCCTGGGGCGAACATCGTCGATGGCATGTGGATTTTCAGGGTGAAGCGGCCGCCAGGTTCTCCGCCTGTCTTCAAGGCTCGTTACGTTGCTAGAGGCTTCAGTCAGCGTCAGGGGGTCGACTTCTTCCAGACCTTCTCCCCCACCCCGAAGATGACCACTCTTCGGGTTCTGCTGCACGTTGCTGCTCAGCGTGACTACGAGCTTCACTCTCTTGACTTCAGCACAGCGTTCCTGCAGGGCAGCCTGCACGAGGAGATCTGGCTGCGCCGCCCACCTGGCTTTACTGGGTCGTTTCCCCCTGGTACCCAGTGGAGTCTCCGCCGGCCAGTCTACGGTCTCCGCCAGGCGCCACGTGAGTGGCACGACACACTGAGGACTACTCTTGCGGCTCTTGGGTTCGCGCCGTCTACTGCTGACCCGTCGCTGTTTCTGCGCACAGACACGTCGCTGCCGCCGTTCTACATCCTCGTGTACGTCGACGACTTGGTCTTTGCTACTGCTGACACTGAGGCACTCGCTCGTGTGAAGTCGGAGCTGCAGAAGAGACACACCTGCACTGACCTGGGTGAACTGCGTAGCTACCTTGGCTTGCAGATCACCCGGGACAGAGCTCGCCGCACCATCACCCTGACTCAGTCACACATGGTGCAGCAGGTCCTTCAGCGCTTCGGCTTCCAGTTCTCCTCACCACAGGCCACACCTCTGGCTACCAGCCACTCGCTCTCAGCTCCACCTTCGGACGAGTCCGTAGAGCCGAGTGGCCCATACCCAGAGCTTGTAGGCTGCCTCATGTACCTGATGACTTGCACGCGACCTGACCTCGCGTACCCTCTTAGCATCCTTGCTCGTTACGTTGCGCCTGGGAGACACAGGCGAGAGCACTGGGAGGCTGCTAAGAGGGTGCTGCGTTACCTGTGCAGTACATCAGGCATGGGGCTGGTGCTTGGAGGACGCGACAGAGTTGTCCTCACTGGTCACTCGGACGCCTCTTGGGTGGACGACCTGGCTACGCAGCGGTCGTCACTGGGTTACACCTTCAGCCTTGGCTCTGGTTCTGTCTCGTGGCGGTCCACCCGCTCTTCCTCTGTTCTCGGCTCTAGTTGTGAGGCTGAGATCTACGCCACAGCCATGGCTGCACAGGAGTTACGCTGGCTCACCTACCTGCTGACTGACTTGGGAGAGCGGCCTAGTTCTCCTCCAGTTCTGTACGGTGACAACAAGGCGGCTCTTGCCTTGTGTCAGGAGCACAGACTGGAGCACAGGACGAAGCACATTGCTCTTCGCTACTTTCTTGCTCGAGAGCTTCAGCAGCGCGGTCAGCTTCGGCTTGTGTACGTGGACTCGAAGGCCAACACTGCTGATATCTTCACCAAGGCGCTCCCGCCTAGTGATCATCAGCGGCACTGTACTTCTTTAGGCCTTGTGTCCACGTTTCCTCACTTGCTCACTACTTGACATTCTTTGTACTGTACTTTATATATATCTTGTTGCTTGCTTGCTAGGTTTTGATCACTGTGTTGCTTGTCTTGTACTATATCTAGCACTGCATGTGAACTGGCCTTGTGGCCTTTACTTGTGCTCGGAGTGTGGTGACGTTGTGATCCACCCTGGGCTTTGCTTTGCTTTGCTGGACTGGTCTTGTGACCCTTTGTTCTCCCCCACTTTGCCTATGGGGGTGTGTTAAACTGTATTATGCTTGTAGGCTGTAGTGGGGTAGCCAATATGGGGTACAACCCCAACTAGGGTTTCATATTTGTACCCAAACTTCTGCTAGTTCATCATTCTTGCCTAGTAATTCTGACAGAACCTCCCCCGATGAACCTGCCAAGAGGAAGCGGACGACATACACCCAGCAGCGCTTGTGGGGCGCTCCACCACCTCGGAAACCGGATGTTCCGCGAAGCGCTCCACCACCACCATCCTCCCCAGCCGTGAAAACTTCGGACGCGGATGCCGAGTTTGCATTGATGAAGCACCGGTTCGACACCGACTGGTCAAAGCGGTTCTCGTGGCTGAGGCTTCACCGCATGAAAAACGGTAGGCCGTCTGTCAAATGCTCGGTCTGTGTGCTATTTGGGGATCCTAACGCTAACACGAGCTACGGAAGCCGAGGTGAGGGTGGTAGAGATTTGCAGCTTGGGAGCATGCGTGCACACATCGTCAGCACGGCTCACAAGGCGGCGCTGAAGGCAGAAAGCGAGGCTGAAGCTGCTAAGGCGCGGCAGGTGACTCTCTCTCGGTGGCAGGCAACGGATTCTTCGACACGGCATCTCATACGATGTCTCCACATCGCCCATTTCGTCTGCAAGAAAGATGCACCGATGGCGCTTTTCGTTCCACTCTGCTGGTTCCTCGCCAAGGAGGGCCTTCCCGATCTCCCTCCAGACGGAGGGTACGGATCGTACTACACAGAGTGAGTACAATTGTTGTTTTCGCGAAAACCTTTTCTTTTGATGCATTTGCACATGGACACTTTGGCCTAACACCTCCCTCGTGTGATGGCTTGCAGGTACGGATTCAAGCAACACCTCAGCGCCATCTCTACCTATCTGCTTGAGCGTCAACTTCAGCACATCCAGGCTTTGCCGAGCCTCGGGATAAGCTTTGACGAGAGCACCGATCGTGTCCACGGGAAGCACATGATCCTTTACGCCACATTCTTCAAAGAAACGGAGGTCGTCACTGAGTTTGTCACTCTCCTTTCTGTGGAACGCACAGACGCTGCGTCGCTTACCTCTGTGCTGTTGCAGTACTTGAGACAGGTTGGCATCGACCTGCAGAAGATCGTCGCGATCGCCACTGACGGCGCTTCCGTCATGGTCGGTTCACAGACTGGTGTTTGTGTCCGCCTGAGGACAGAGATTGAACATCTCGCGTCCACTCACTGCATCGCCCATCGGTGAGCGCCATTTCATTTTGCATCCACGATACTTCACATTGCGTCACTGTTTGTATATCAATCCTAACATGATGCACCGCTCTGTCGCAGGGAGGCTTTGGCAGCCAAGGAAGCAGCGCTTCAAGTGCCCGAGCTCAACATCGTCGACGACGTTGTCCGCGGAGTGGCGGACATCCTCAGCAGGAGTCACGTGAAGAATCAGCGCTTCATGCAGCTGCAGCTCATCTTCTGTCAGACGAACCTGGAGGTGCAGAGGATTCATGACGTCAGATGGCTCGCGAGGGGCGAAGCCATCAATCGGCTACTTGAAGTGTTGCCAGCCGCCATGCTTGCAGTGAAGGAGTACTCCGCCACTTTGTGGGAGGTGGTAACTTCCTTCAAATTTCAGTTTCTTCTTCGATTTCTCGCGGACATCCTCACCGAGCTCAACCACTTGAACACAAGGTTCCAAGTGCGCCAGGTGAGAAATCTCCAAAACGCCTTGTGTCTGGCCTAATCCGTGGTGTCCGATGTGTGTGATTTGAATTTCTGGTATTAACATGTCCTCCTTCGGTTTCCATCTCTGCTCCCCAACCATAGGTGGACGTGACCCTGGTTGCGCACCTCGTGGTGCAAACTCGCATGCGCATCAGTCAGCGGTACATCAATGTGCCACAAGGCCATGTGTTCGGGCACGGAGACAAGATGCATCTACCGGACTTCTTGAAGAAGCACGGTCCAGTCGACAAGCGCAAGATGCGTGTAGATGGCGTGGATACTGACGGGAACCCTGCTAAGGAAGAGTTCATCCTCCATGAGAGGAAGCTTCCTTGCGCCAAAACTGCTGGCGACTTGGAGGCTTGCTACGCCCTTGCTGTGCAGTTCGCGAGTGAGGTCAACAGTGAGCTGGCGTGGCGGATGGCGGACTTGCAGAACCTGGAAGGCACCAAGCTCTTCCTGTCCCAGACCTACCTGGCTGACGACGACAAGCGCATGGCAGCATTCAAAAAGTGGCTGAAGCAGCTGGCTGCACTCTTCCACGGGAAACTCCCTGGTTTGTTAACATTCAAACTCTTTCTGTGTGTTATGCTTTCCTAGAACTGCAGGGATGTGGTTGTTTTGGCGCCAGCGGCACGCCTAGTTAGCCCTGCATGAATCTTTCCTTATTTAACTTTTCTCTCCGCTGTCCCATACCATCTCATCCCTATGGATTGATGTTTTTGGATTGCCTGTGTGCATGTCCTGTAGGATTCGATCTCAACAAGGCAATGATGGAGCTATGGATCTTCACTTCAACGATGCATTCGCAGCACCACAATGAAGACTTCAACCAAGCGCTCTCCAACACCCTTCGTAATGAAGACACCTGGCGTCGTTCATTCCCCAACATCATGAGGCTGTGGCAGGCAGTGGCAGTTCTTCCTCTCAGCACTGTTGAATGCGAGAGGGGATTCTCAAAGCAAAACCTCATTAAGACGTGGGGACGAGGCACCATTGGTGATGCAAGCCTTGGAGCCCTCATGCGCTGCTCTCTTTTGGACTACGAGGTGGACTGGTTTGATGTTGTCGCTGTTTTTCGGGGAGAGAAGAACAGGCGCCCCATTAGGGACTTCTCGGGCGTGATTCCAGGAGAGCAGGAATTTGTAGACATTAGGTAGGGGGGCACAGCCCCAGTTCGTAGAGTAGGGCATCTAGCTTGCTATGTAGTTAGTAATATATCAATATGTGTAGTTGTAGTTGTAGAACATTGTCATCTAATGGAAGGCACAGTATGGCCAAACATGAAATAGGGTAACTGGACAAACTTCCTTAAACCACCCTGTCACGAACAGTGTGCAAAAACTTTTACCCTTCTGTGGACAGGGTGGAGGAAACTTCACCCTAGCAGTCAGGGTGCTGTCGCCCTGGCACCCTGATCCTTAAGTGTGCTATGAAACCAAAAATAGCCCCTATCACGCACAGGTATGCTTGCTTTCCTCGGTTATGTGCATTCCTATATTTTATTATAGTTATAGCACCGAACCAGGTTACGTGTACCGAACTCAAGCCTATTCGATTTCCACCAAATTGCTTTCTACCGAGTTCGGGAAGGTTCTGTTCGGGACGCTTCGCGACCCTTATAACATTCGCATAACATGGGGATTACCTGCCTTGTGTCGAGACTATAGATAGCATCGTGTTGTACGCATATGGATAATTCAATTCAGACTTTCTTTCCCGAACTCGATGCTAGATCCTCAGACTTGATAATCAGAGCTCGTCTATACGCGACCTTTTTTCGACCACTAAAACCAAACCGGTTCCGTTCTTTTCGCTCCGCCTCGCTTGGTTTTATCGGGCGCGCAATGTAATGGATGGAGGGCCTAGGCGACAATTACGCCGACCACGCAAGACATCGCCAGCCTTCACACCGACGTGGAACAGACGCAGGCGGCGAACCGGCGAATCGAAGCCCTCCTAACACACCAATCGGTAGCCGCCAACGCAATAGTCAAAGCAGCAGCGAACACAGCAGCGACACCAGCAGCAGCAACGGCGACACCGACATTTCACGGACCGATGGCACCATTGTCGCCGAACCTTGAAGCAGCTCACTCGAGGCTCTCTGAAGCGTTCGATCGAAGCACGAAGGGATCGGACGTTCGACGATTTGTGGCGACCCTCAAAATTTACTTCGATGCCATTGGCTGTTCGAGCCCGTCAAATGACGTAGTAAGGATTCGGCTCGCAGCGACACTGTTGCGGGGACCAGCACTCGAATGGATCTACTACAGTGACGTGGCCCCCAGGGAGAAAACGTGGGAGCGCTTTCGAGCAGACCTCATTAAACGTTTCGAACCAATAAATTTTAGGTACATGGTGCGGCAGCAGAAACACCGACATAAACAATACGGGAGTGTAGCACCGTACACGCAGCAGATGGAGCAGCTTTTTAACCGCATCATCGACCTGACCGAGGGCGAAAAAACCTAGGCGTATTGAGAAGGGTTAAAAATGGAGATTCGCCTGCAGGTCATCGCACCGAACTACAGTAGCTACCGCGACCTCGTACGTGCAGACGAACGTTACGACGCGTTGACGCGTGGTCAACCTGAAACACGACGTTACGGACCGAACTGTATATTCAGCACAAAGCGATTGGCACCCCCCATGTTCGACGAACCGATGGATATTGCCGGTTTGGACGAGAAGTAGCAACCGACAAAATGCGAATTTTGCGGCACAGCCGGACATCAAATCCTGTCATTGTGAGAGTACGACGGCTTATGCTGGCTTTGCTAGCTTGCCTGGACTTTATTATGCTATTTCTAGCTTGGGTTTATTTTATCATGCATAGTTATGCTTGATTTCCTAGGTTAGGTGCATTCCTATATTTTATTATAGTTATAGCACCGAACCAGGTTACGTGTACCGAACTCAAGCTTATTCGGTTGCCACCGAATTGCTTTCTACCGAATTCGGGAAGGGTCTGTTCGGGACGCTTCGCGACCCTCAGAACATTCGCGTAACACCTGGGTTACCTGCTTTGTGTCGAGCCTATATATAGTCTCGCCTTGTACCCAGGTGCATAATTGAA